CTCTTTTGCATTGTTGGTGGGAATGCAAGCTGGTGCAGCTACTCTGCAACAGTATGGAGGTTCCTCAAAAAACTAAAAATAGAACTACCCTATGACCCAGCAATTGCACTACTAGGCATTTATCCACAGGATACAGGTGTGATGTTTCGAAGGGACACATGCACCCCCATGTTTATAGCAGCACTATCAGCAATAGCCAAAGTATGGAAAGAGCCCAAATGTCCATTGATGGATGAATGGATAAAGAAAATGTGGTGTGTGTGTGTGTGTGTGTGTGTGTGTGTGTGTGTGTGTATATATAATGGAGTATTACTTGGCAGTCAAAAAGAATGAAATCTTGCCATTTGCAACTACGTGTATGGAGCTGGAGGGTATTATGCTAAGTGAAATTAGTCAGAGAAAGACAAAAATCACATGAATTCACTCATATGAGGACTTTAAGAGACAAAACAGATGAACATAAGAGAAGGGAAACAAAAAATCTTTAAGCTAGAGAAGATATCAGTAGAAACCCTGAAAACTAAAAAGCAAAGAGAACAAAGACTGGGGAAAGAAAACCAAAATATCTAAGGACTGTGGGACAATTGCAAAAGGTGTAACATATACATAATGAGAATACCAAAGGAGAATAAAGAGAGAAGAGAAATATTTGAAAAAAATAATGACTGGGAATTTCCCCAAAATAATGTCAGAAACCAAACTACTGATACAGAAAGCTTTGAGGACACCAAGCAAAATAAATGCCTCCACCCAAAAAACCTACACCCAGGCATATTATTTTCAAATTATAGAAAATCAAAGATAAGGAAAAAATCCTGAAACAAACCAGAGGAAAAACACCACACCTATAGAGGAACAAAGATAAAAATTACATTCAATTTCTCAGAAACCATACAAGAAGATGGGAATGAGGTCAAATAATTAAAGTTTTGAGGAAAAAAAAAACCACCACCCTAGAATTCTGTAACCTAGAAAACTATCCTGTAAAGTGAAAGGGAAATAAAGAATTTCTCAGACAAACAAAAATTGGAGGAATTTATTGCCAGTAGATATGTCTTCTAGAAAATGTTAAAAGCTATTTAGAGGAAACAAAAATATACACCAGAAACTCAGATTTGTGTAAACCAATGAAGAGCATCAAAGAAGGAATAAGTGAAGGAAAAATTAAAAAATTGTTCTTACTCTCATCTAACACATAACAGTTTGTTCAAAATAATAATAACCAACAATTTATTTGATTGCTATGCTTATGTATATATATATATATACACATATATATACTATATATACTATATATGTAAGTACTATATATACTTTTATATATACATATATACAATTACATATAAATGAAATTAATTAATGAACCAAGTGATGGAAAGGAGGATTTAAGATTATTTTTGCTATTATAAAGTATTCATATTACCCATGAAATGATATAGTGTCATTTGAAAGTGGACTTGGATCAGCTGTAAGTGAATATGGCAAACTCTAGCAACCACTGGAAAAAGGTAAAAAAAAAAAAAAAAAAGGAATAAAATCAATATGCCAAGAAAGGAGAGAATATAGAATCATATAAAATGCTCAATTAAAACCACAAAAGGTAGAAAAAGATTGGAAGACAAAAACAAGAAGAAAGAGTAACAAATAGACAACAGTAACAAATATGGTAGCTATTACTGCAACCATGTCAATAATCACTTAGAAGATGGATGGTCTAAATGCATCAGTCAAAAGACAGAGATTGGCAGAATGGATCAAAAAACATGACCCAGCTATCTGTGGTCTATAAGAAATCCACTTTAATTGTAAAGACACATATAGATTAAAAGCAAATGGATGGAGGAAAATTTACTATGCTGACACTAATCAAAAGAAAAGTCAATCTTTATAAAAACAGAGGAGAACGGACATATAGTAGGATCTGATATCAGACACAGAGATAGGGTGAATGCCTGGTGAAGTAAAGAGGGTGAAGTAAAGTATAAAAAAGTGTTTAACCATAGCCTCCTATTCATTACGTTAGGAGAATTACATGATATATGTGTCTCGTACCTGCTAAAGGTCATTAATTGTTAACTATTGCTTTTATTTTTTTGATTATTATTACATCTTGAGGTCTTCCCATGGGTCATACCATGAAGGACAAATAAGAGTTCTGCCAGGATCAAGATTGTGTTCTCCCAATATTGTCCAGAGTCCATTTCAGTCTTCTTTACTTGTCAGTCTCTCTCTGACTATCTGATTGCTTAGCTTCGTGCTAGAAATTTAGAGACTTCTCTGGCTTAACTCTCTACACTCCTGAATTCTGTTGGTTTTTGTCCCCTAACTATAGGCATATCTGATTCCACAGTCTTGACCTGCAGGAACCTGTAGGCTATTACCAATTATATTTATCCTGCCTCTTAAATGTGTATTGACATTTAGAAATCACATATTCCATTTTCATTAGTTGGAAACTGCCAATGTTGAGGTCATTGGCTCTCTTTCATTTTGCAGGTTAGTAACTTAACTAACTTCAATAAATTTTATATTCTTTTATAGACATGACCGCATAACCACAGAGAGCTTTGTAAATACCAGCCCTATTAAAATCCAGCAGGTATATTTTAGCACACTTAAATTTGGGTGAGGGCACTGGAAATAATTAGTTTTCCTCTCCATGATGACACAATCCTCATTTACTACATGCACTCTGAGTAACACGTACCACCAATGGGAACAGTTCAAATTTTTAGTACACTTCTCTCAGAGGTGTATCAAAGCCAAAAATATTACTAACTAGTTCATGCCACACCCTAAAACAACCAGTGGTAAATTCTCTTGTGCTTTGGGGAAATAGATTTATATTTTATAATAACAATAATGGGCATCAACTAGTCACTTTCCATATCCATAGCATGAGGTCTGAATTATTATTTTAATTTATTTTATTCTATGTTTATGTTTTGAGTAATTGATTATTTTAAAGCATGCAGCCAATTATGTAAATTTCCTATTGTCCAGAAATAAATACCTAGAAAAGAAATGTGTGAGTTTATGCAGAACTGTGAAAATTAATCTCTGTGTTATCTTCTTTAAACATGTAAAAGCCTATAGTCTTATGGTCTCCATAAAGAATTCTCTGGATCCTATTTTTGTATATTTATTTTTTTTATATTTTTTTATGTATTTTTGAGAGAGAGAAAAAGAGAGAGAGCATGTAGGAGAGGGGCAGAGAGAAAGAGGGAGACAGAGAATCCCAAGCAGGTTCCACACTCTCAGTGCAGAGCCTGATGTGGGGCTCAGTCTCATGAACCATGAGATCATGACCTGGGGTGAAACCAAGAGTCGGATGCTTAACCAACTGAGCCACCCAGGCGCCCTATTTTTACATTTTTTAAATGATACGTAAATCCTTTATCAGTTACCTAGAACAAGATGTGAGCTGAATGGTGACTCTATCAGCAAGGCAAATAAAACTCTCCAAAGATCATTGCAGTTGTCCAATTAATAATGAACAAAATGAAGTCAACAAAATAAATAATAAGGAAATACAATAAATAGTTACACACACATGGCCATGTGAAATCCTTAGAAAATAGTCCTTATGGAATTGTAAATTTCTACTCGGGTTCTCTAGACAAATAGGTTAGGAAAATCCTAGCAACTCATTCCTCTCTGACAGTAGATGATATACAGTAACTTATATTTGCAGGACTTGTTCTTAGCAATGGATAACAATTCCAGAATCCTTCCTTTTATCTGGGGTGTCACATCTGTGTGACGGGCATTTTTAAAAAATACATTGTAAATCACATGAGAATTGAATTCACAAATGTTGTGTTAGAGTGCTAGTACTATTGTATGAATTTGAGCCTGTTAGTTTTCATTCCTGTATCTTAAATTTTATTATTTGCTGAAGATGACATAAATAATACTGGTTCTGATTGTTGAGAATTTGAATAAAATAGCGAATGCTGAGTCACTTGTAAGTTCTTAAATGATATGAAATTGTGGTTATACAGCATGTTTCTACAATAGCCCTTGCAGTACGGGCTGTGGATTGTAAAGCACTCCTCATCTTTGTGTGTCTGAAAATGTCTTTTAGGAGTTTTTTTTTTGCTATTTCACCTTATGTTCTGATACACTCTTAAAGCTCTTAAAGGTACAGTGGTGAAACTATGTATTTGGATAGAGCTTAATATAGGTTTCTCATATATGAGGATCGATAAACTCCACAGCAAACCTTAAGGGGGAAAATGTCTTCATTTTACTTACTTTTTTAGGTGATAGGTTAATTGAGTGTCAGATTCCGGGTTGATGGTTCTTTTGCTGATAATTGTTTTTTGTTGTGTGTTTTTCTTCTCTCTTTACCACCCATGTTTTGCTTCACAAAGAATTTACCCATTGATATTTATTTCTTTATCATCTATACGTTGCTTTGTGCTTTCAGTGATCACTTTCAGCCTGAAGTTACATGTCTTCAACTCTGCAAAAATGTCTCAACCATTCATTTTCTTTTCAAACGTTTCTTTTCTGCCTTTTCCCCTACTATTTTCCTCTGGAACTGCTCTCAGAGCTATATTGACACATCTAAACCTACCCTCCATTTCTTGGACTGTTGTCACATATTTAACGTCTTTATCTCTTAATCCTGCATCCCTGGGAGTTCCTCAGGACTACTCTGCAGTCATTCAGTAGTGTGGTGACTTTCAGTGGTTCTATATTTCATTTTCAGGGCATCCAATTGCTTCTTGTGTCAATTCTACCTATTTTTATAATTTTCATTCTCTGTACATTGCTGTTATTCATCTTTTTAAGAATCATAAATATATTTCTTATAAAACTGTTTTAGATTGTTTTATTATTAATTGATTTGGAGTGACCTTTTAAAAATGTTGATTTCGTTTGCTATCCATTTTAGCATTAGTTTTCTTCACATATTTTGGAATTTTGATTCATATAATAATATGTAACAGGAAGGTTTATGTCACTCATTCTTTGTCGTTATTTCCATGCAGATCCCCAGGTCTCACCAATCAGAACCAGGTCTTGTATTTGCAGTTCAAATGTTACATTATGTTAAAAAGTGCCAAAACTGGGGCACCTGGGTGGCTCAGTCGGTTAAGCGTCGGACTCTTGGTTTCAGCTGGGATCATGATCTTGAGGTTTGTGACTTCCAGCCCTTCATTGCATTCTGTGCCAACTGTGCAGATCCTGAACAGTTCTCTCTCTCTGCCCCTCCCTTGCTTGTGTGCTCTCTCAAAATAAATAAGCAAACTTTAAAAAAGTGTCAAAATTATTATGTTAGTGATTGATATGAAAAAGTTGCTTTTAGGTAGCATCCCTTACTTTATTTAGGAAAGTACATTTTGGGAGCTGGATCTTATGATAGATTGGATTATTGTTCTCTGCTCATAACTGCTCCCTGTTGTGGAATTATACAGAAGCACATTTTGCCATGTGACAACAGTACCTCCCACTAGAGTAAATGAAGAATGTTTATCAAAGTAAATAAATGTGGTGACTACCAAGGGAATACATATTTTATTCATCATTATATTTGGTAAAACAACAATAACAACAACAACAAAAGACAAACAAAAAAATTATCCCACTTGAGACAGGTAATATGTACACAAATTTCAGAAATATTGTATTTTGAAATAAGAGAGATTCCTTTGTGTTACACAAGTTAAAAATAATTAAATATTTTTATTTTATTTATTTTTTTTAATTTTTTTTTCAACATTTATTTATTTTTGGGACAGAGAGAGACAGAGCATGAACGGGGGAGGGGCAGAGAGAGAGGGAGACACAGAATCGGAAACAGGCTCCAGGCTCCGAGCTATCAGCCCAGAGCCTGACGCGGGGCTCGAACTCACGGACCGCGAGATCGTGACCTGGCTGAAGTCGGACGCTTAACCGACTGCGCCACCCAGGCGCCCCTAAATATTTTTAAATAATACACGATCAAATTGGCATATATATTCTTGCCAGATTTGTTTCTTCCCAGAGGGTCCATGTATAACTACTTAGTGATTACTATCTCCAACATAAATTGCAGACTTTGAGATACTTAAGAGATTAATCATCCCAACAAAGTTCCAATATTTTTAAAGCAAGAACTTTAAAAAAAATTAAATCTTAGCATTCCATATATACAACAGATAAAGATTGCTGTGATTACAATTTGGAGGGATTTTATTTAATTTAATTTTTTTTATTTTTATTATTTTTTTTTCAACATTTATTTATTTTTGGGACAGAGAGAGACAGAGCATGAACGGGGGAGGGGCAGAGAGAGAGGGAGACACAGAATCGGAAACAGGCTCCAGGCTCTGAGCCATCAGCCCAGAGCCTGACGCGGGGCTGGAACTCACAGACCGCGAGATCGTTACCTGGCTGAAGTCGGACGCTTAACTGACTGCGCCACCCAGGCGCCCTTATTTAATTTTATTTTAAAGTACATACATAAAAATAGTTAAAATCTTTGTTCATGGAAAATATTATTCTGCAATTTCATTTTTTTCATAATATTTTTATAAGGCTTTTCATCAGGATAAGGTTCATAAAACTAATTGGGAAGTATTCTAATTTTTCATTTTTTACATTGAATATTTCCATTTTTCTTTTCAGTCTAGGTATGAGTTTATAAATTTTATTGAAGTTTTCAATAATTTAACTTTTTTATTATTTTTTCTTATTATTTGCTATTTTTCTATTTCTTATCTTTATAATTTCATTTCTTATTTTTTTATAATTTCTTTTCTTGTACTTTAAATTTGACGTTCTGTTCTGTTTCTAGCTTTTTGATGTGAAGAATTTGATACTTAATATTAGACGTCTTTTCTCTATTCATAATTTTAGCACTGATATTTTCATATTGTTGAATATGTTCACTATTATAACAGCATTTCCTAATAAACTGGAAAATATCTTTTTGAAGATATACCTTGTATGTTTTAATTTAAAATTTGAAGAATTTTATGTAATATATAATTCAACTTTCCTTGATGCATTGTAGAATAAACATTACTATCACAATAAATTATAGAATTAATGTTATTCCTATTTGGGTTATATTTTAAAAATCAAAAACCATGTCCAAATTAATATTTGTACCTTTATGTATAATTATTCCTAAGGTCTAGGTCTGCAGGATATGATCATAAAGTCCTAACTTTGGTATAAAAGAATGCTTTGGATATCCTGATAATACTGCTAAGTATTCCTTTGAAATATAGTGAAAATAAATCCAGATCAAGAATTAAAATTATTCTTAAAAGTTATGTTACCTCTTTTGTTGTTCAGTATGTTTACATTCCATCTCCTTCCCTGCCTCAACCCACTTCACCTACAGCAGTCCTATGAATCCACTGTTTCTGAATCAAAGAACATAGTGTTGGCTAAGAAGGAAAGTATTTTCTCATAATGTAATTCAGAAGTTTAGAAGCTTCCATATGTCCTGAAATATTGCAAAGGACAAGAGTAAAAAAAAAAAATGAGTTTTCAGTTTAGACAATTCAACTGAGATCAAAATAGCAAGTAATATTTTAAAAATAATAATTAAAATTGTTTTTCTCTCATGGCAGCAGGTTTATATTGCTCTGCTCAAGTTATAAAATAAGTGATTTGGACAGAGAGAAGATCACTTGCCTCAGATGACACCTTTTTTAGTTAATTCTTGAGCAAATTCACCATTGTCAAGCTTATATTATACAAGTTTTAAAATAAGATTTTGAACAATCATTATTATACAAGATGATATTTAGCATTTTTCATCCAGTAACGTTTCAGATCCATTTATATTCTTCTTTGAATAATGGGCTGCATGTTGTTAACATAATGACATTCTATTTTGTTTCATTGGCAAGAAGCCCTATCTGACTTCAAACTTACACAAATAGACAGAGAGCCTTTTTATTATTTACTGTAAGAGAATTCGGAAAATATGTTATAAAATTAACAACCACATAAAAAACAATAACTTCATTGATTATATTCTTAGAAACAAAAGAATATTTTATAATTAAGAATATTAAGAATTTAAGTTCAAAAGGGTAACCATTTTTTTAATCCTGTGCTATCCAGCTGCTTATAATTTCCATGGATTTATGTTAATCATGAAAATAAAGAATGTGTCAAGAATGTATTATGTTTTCTGTGAAGCTACTTAAAAGATTTTTTTATTTCTGTAAGACTGTTTCATTTACTAGGAATTAGAGAAGTATGGAAAAGGACAAAAATTAAGATATAAAAATAAACACTGTATTTTTCATTAATGATAAATATATATGTCAACATTCCATATTCATAAAATTATAATTAATGTTTAATGAGTGCCTACCAGGTGCCGGATACTGTGCTAAGACCTCTGTATGCCTTACCACTTTCAATGTAGGCCACATAGCAACACAAGGTGTACTCTCTGTGGGCACTGAGTATTGAAGAAGTTAGGTAATTTGCACAGCTTACCCAATGGTGAATAAGGATTCACTGCACCCAGATCTGTCTGGGGAACCCGAACTGTTAATCATGTCACCTGTCATTGCTAACTCTCTTGAGTTTCCTATGCTGAAAAATAAGAATTTAGAGCTGAGTCAAGTCACCTTTACCAATTAGGAAACACAGAATCAGAATCATGCACATTATTAGTTTTGATCACCTTTTCCTATGGTGTGTACTTATTTTTTATGTTTTTATGTTGTGTACCTTAAATTTCTTTTTAATGTTTACTTATTTTTGAGAGAGGCAGAGAGAGTGAGAGGGGGAGGGGCAGACAGAGAGGGAGAGAGGATCTGAAGCAGTCTCCCTCTGACAGCAGAGAGCCACATGTGGAGTGCAAATCCATTAACCACGAGATCGTGACCTGAGAGGAGGTCAAACACTTAACCCACCCAGTCACCCAGGCACCCCTGCTGCGTACTTTTAAGCATTTGTCGATAACACAGTATATACAAAATATCATACCTATAAGCATTTTGAGAAGCTATTTTCCCTTTCTTTTATCTTCGCATCTACCACAGCACCTGGCAAAGAAAAACATTTTTCTGAACCAAACTATCGGAGTATAAATTTTAAAAATATACTAGATGTTTCCACAGTTGTAAAAGTGGCTTAACACCATAAGAAAGTCACAATTAACTTTAAACTTTGGGAAAAATTCACTGCATTACATAAAATGTGAAATCACGTATACATTAAATCAAGGGATTCCAAAGATAATACAATTTATTATATATATATATATATATATATATACCGTGCTTCAGAACCTGGGTACAGCACACATACAGCCCATCATTTTACTTCAAGTCTGAATATATGCAAGTGATATCCTCTTCTACTGAAAGACAAGTTAATAAGTATTCACTGAATGACTAAAGTGGTTCGATGTATCTGTTCTTAATATGTATAAAACAACCTGTGTAAAATTGTAATTTTCAAAGAGAGATACCTGTACCCTTCCTGTGGACTCTCAGTTAGACTATATGTCAGTTTCTGGAATAGGTCAGATTATCTATCACAGAACAGTATATGGAATAAACTGAATACAGTTAAAAACAAAAGTGCTTAAGAACAGTCATACTGACTAGCAGAGCATGAGGGTGTTGCGCAATAATAATCACTGATGTTTACTCACTGATCAACATATGTTGGGTACTAATATATGTCCTTTGGAGACTGCCTTATTTGAGCACCACAGGGGATTCTATGATAAGTAAATTACAGTCTCCATGTTTGCCAGTGTGCGAAAGAGAAATTTAGAGACATTAATGACACACCAGAGTCACACAATTAAGAAACAATAGTTAGGAATTGGCCTATACTATCCATCTCTAGCATCGTACTCTTAACCCTAAAATATAAAATATTGTCTATAATCAAGAGTATTAATAAAACATTATTTAAATTCAAAGATTAGAATATATTCTAAGCAGTTCGGTAAATATCCGAAAAGAATCCGGGAGTATTGGAATCCAGGGGACTGACCCTTGCCTCAGCTCTGAACAAATCAGCTATGTTCTGCAGGTAACTCATTTCAATTTTGTCTACCTCAGTTTGTCACTTTGTGTATCAAGAAGGCTGGACAAGATGCACATAAAATCATCTTCCTCTTAATGCTTGCAAACATCCAACTGCATTATGGGTTGTTTTGCCTTGTATCTGACTCTGCCACCAAGTTTCTCCTCTCCTCTCTGGGCACAGCAATATTTACATCAACAAGGATGAAGTGTAACATCCCTCATTGTACTAATTGGACTCCTAACTCTTGATACCTGAAATGAACACAACTGGATCATTGAAGACTGTACCAAAGAAGACAAAAATATAAACATATTAACTTAGAATTGGGATTTTGGATTTGAGTCGACCCAGGTGCTACGCTTCAGGGTGGTGAAAAGACCTATTTGTAGGAAAAATCTTTTGGGAGCTATAATTTTATGAAATGAAAATTTCTAAATATATTAAACTATAGGTTTTTTAAAATCATGCAGTAGATAAAGTTTAAAAATTTCCTAGGTAATATTTTACACATAATACTAAACAATACTGAAAGTTAAAATATGACACTAAGTTTTAGCAATTCACCAAAACCAAGTTACATAAACGAATCAGAGATTTTTTTATGGTCTGTAATTTGGAAACAACAACAACAAATATTTTCTATTTTGATTTATAAACAATTTATTCTCTAAATAAGACT